GGTCCGGTGCGGGGGCAACACTGGGGGTTGCGATCCGTTGCCGGACACGGAAAAAGACAAAAAAATAAATAAATAAAAGAAAAAATAAAAGAAAAACTATTTCTAGGGCCAGCCCGGTGGTGCACTGGAGAGTGCGCCACTTGGGAGCGCGGAGGCGCTCCCGCCGAGGGTTCAGATCTCATGTGGAGACCGGTTCCCGCTCACTGGCTGAGCGCGGTGCGGGCGCAACACCGAGGGTTGCAATCCCGTTGCCGGTCCCCAGTACGGGCGCGACACCGAGGGTTGCGATCCCGTTACCGGTCAGTAAAAAAGACAAAAAGGGAAAAAAAAAATTATTTCTATTGTGAGAAAAAGATGAAATATAATAGAAGATCCCATTTATAATTGCAACAGAAATATATAATAATTAGAAATAGATTTGGACAGAAATTATATGAAGAAAACTTTACAACCTTGATGGATATAAAAGAAAACTTATCTAATTATAGAGACATCCTTGTTATTGAATAAGAAGTCTTAGTATTATAGATACAGCAGTTCTCTTTTTATTTAATCTGTAAATGTAATGGTTATTGAGAATAGCACAGGTTGGCTGCAGTTACAAATTAACCCTGAAATCGCTATGGCTAACACAACATAGGTTCCTCTCTCAGTTATGCTTCATTTCCATTGTAGACTGGTAGGAGGCTTTGCCCACACAGTTGCTCAGGAATTCAGACTCTCCAAGGCCATGCCATCGCGGAGCTCCATCATCTGGAAGAAATGCCATCCACACAGGCTGTGGCAGGAAAAGAAAGGAGTCACATTCCAGCAATTAAATGTTTTGGTCTGGAAACATCACATGACATTTGGCTATTGGCCAAACTAATCACATAACCTCACCTAAATGCAAGTAGGCAAAGAAGGGTAGTCTTTCGTATGTGCAGGAATCAGAACAGAAGCAGATACTGGTGAGCACTAATGGATTTCAGTAAAAATAGTACTGGATTCTCAGGAGGAAACTAGACAAGCCATAAAATTTTATATGAAAAGAATGCCAAGGTATTTAAATGTATTATCAAACCTTAGTAACTAAAACAGTTTGTTACTGACAATGAATTTGAGAGATCAATTGAACAGAATATAAAGTCCAGAAGTAGACTGAAATACACATGGAAATTTAGTATACTCGTATGTAAAGCAGTATTTCAAATTAGTTGGGTAATATAAGAATTATTAGTACATGGCATTAGGATTATTCACTGGCCATCTGAGGGAGGAAATGTACATAAATCTCTACCTTACTTATTAATCTCAAAATAAATTCCAGATGGATCAAAAAATTAGAAGGAAATTAAACTGAAAAAATATGGAAGAAAAGGAAACAGTGTATCTGTTTTGAGTGTGGTATATATATCTTTCTAAGCAAAACTCAGAAGCTTTTAAGGAAAAACTGATAAAGTTACTACCTAAAAATTAAAATTCTGTTGCCTCCCCTCATCTCCCACAAAATTATAATCAAAGTCAAAAGAAAAAATTGACACAATGGAGAAGAGGGGATATTGTCATCACATGTAATAGAAAAATTTTCTTAATTCATTATGGGATCTTAAAAAATCAGTAAGTATCAAAGAACTTTGCAGGGTCTGAGATTTTTCCCTGTTACATATATACAAGGGTACTTCAAAAAGACTGTGGAAAAGTAGAATTAAGAGATATTACGATGTAAATCTTTCCGTGAACTTTTTGAAGTACACCCATAATGGGATCTGCAAAATCAACGCATTTATAACTGAAGAGTTTCATGGATGCTTGCAGAAGATACAAGACTGTTAGGTCAGAGACGAAGAACATTGTTTTTCATAGCAGAGCAACAGCATGAGCATCATGTTTGTGTCCATTCCCCCTTGCCTCCCTAGTCCTATGGGGTGATGCTGAGAGGCCCAGGTGGATGCTGCCCGCACAGTGGATTCAAGTCACAGCTGAAGGAGGTCATCTTAATGAACCTAAGTCTTTTATGATGGGCAGTAAGCAAGGCTTCCTTACCTTTGCTGCAGAGGGAAGTGTTGTATTCATTATGCTGGACAGTAAGCAAAGCTATCCTCTGCTACCAAGGAAGACCTGTTTGTGTTCAGTGCTGTCAAACATAGCCTGGATCAAAAAGGCAGTTGGTGCCTCTGTTTGAAAGGTGTACGGTAGTGTGAGACACACGGAGAATTGCCCTCTGCAGTAAGAAGTCATCTAACAACCCATTAGAAATCTGGCAAAGGACATAAAGAGGGCACAAGAAGAGAAATCCACAAATGACTAATAACATGTGAGAAGTGTTTAACTTCATTCACAACTAAAGACATTCAAATGAAACATTTTCTACCTTTCAGAAAAGCAAATATCAAAAGGTTGCACCCATTACTTGCTTTGAGCTCATGATGGCAAGAAATGGCCACTCTCTTATTTGTGCTGACAAATACATGTCCTGTTAAGAGAATAAAGCAAGGTGCAGAAATGTGTGAAGAAGATTTTACCACTGTGTAGAACAAGGAGATGTGTGTGTGTGGGCACACACTTATATGAGCAGAATATTTCTGGAAGTATACACAGGAATTGGTAACAGTGCTTTACTTCTAGGCAGGAAGACTTCAAGTATCTGTCCTTTGTACTGTTTGAATTTTTTTACCATATGCATATATTACATCTTTAAAGACTTAAATTTTTAAAAAATAAAATACTACTTAAATTTAGAAAAGCTGAAAACAGTGAAACTTGAATAAAACTACACATAAACAGCATGATCCTGAAGGTCCCTACAAACAGAAACTTTTTCAGGCAAGGAAGAATTTACTTTCAAATTAAGATTTTTCATCTTTGTTTATGTTTTAATGAAAAACTGGTGTTTTTTGGGGGGGGGCGGCCCCATGGCTCACTCGGGAGAGTGCGGCACTGGTAGCGCTGAGGCCTCGGGTACGGTACGGATCCTATATAGGGATGGCCGGCACGTTCACTGGCTGAGCGTGGTGCAGACCACACCATGCTGTGAGGGTTGTGATCCCCTTACCGGTAAAAAAAAAAAGAAATTGCTTTTTTAACTTTTTGTTTTGTTTTTAAGTACATAGGTTTTGAAGTCAGATGGACCAAGGTTCAAATTCTGATTATTGCCCTTAGTAAATCTTGGGCAAATTACTTAACCCCTGTAGGGTTACTTACCTGAGATTTAGAGAGGCCAAGATCATATACAGAGTAAATGGCAGAACTGGAATTTCAGCATAGGTCCATCTAACTCCAAAACCCGGTCTTATGTCCACTGGCAGAACTAAGCGGAAAGGCTCACCCGTTAGCTCATCTGGTTACAGTGTGGTGCTGATAATCCCAAGGTCAAGGGTTCAGATCCCCTTCCTGGCAGCTGCCAAAACCAAAAAAAAAAAAAAAAGCTGAGCAGAAGTGGACCACTTAACAGTGGTCTCCTCAGACTGATGTAACAAAATACCACAGATTGGGCAGCTTAAACAACAGAAATTTATTTTCTCACAGTTCTGGAGGCTGGAAATCCAAGATCAAGGTGTGGGCAAGGCCAGTTTCTGCTGAGACCTCTCTCCTCAGCTTGCACACAGCACCTTCTCACTGTGTCCTCACAGGGCCATTTCTTTGTGTGCACATAACACACACACACACACACACGGGGGGTGAGAATAAATGAACTCTGATGTCTCTTCCTCTTATAATTACATCAGTCTTAGATTAGGACCCCACCCTTATGACCTCATTTAACCTTCATTACCTCGTATAGGTCCTACCTCCAATACAGTCACATTGGGGTTTATGGCTTCAACATAAGAATTTTGAGGGGACACAGTTCAGTCCATAACACAGGGCCACCCCTAGGTTTGCCTGGCACAACTCCGAGAGACCACGTTTATGCACTGTACAGTGTGCACAGCTATACGTAGTGGCCCTGCTAGTTATTCTCTTGTGGCTCCTCTTAATGTCTAAAACCTATAATTCCATTATTCTGTGTCTCGAACTTTCTAATAGACTTGTTTAGAGAAGTCTAAGTTCATAAGTTTTATGATAGGAAAGAACATTCACAGTTATAGTCATAAGATTAATGTATTTATAAAATTCTAATAAAAACTTTATTTTTTAGAGCATTAGTTTGGACGAGTTCAAGTCTTTTTGCCATTTTACAACTCACTTGGAAGACTTCGCTATTGCCATGCAAATGTTTAGTTTAGCTCATCGTCCTGTCAGACTGGGTAAGTTATATGAATCATTTAGTTTTTATCATCTATAAACAGTTTCATTCTATTCCTCAACTAGATGATGCCAATCAAGGAGCCAGTTATCAGTGAAACAATTGATTAGCCTTTTCTTTCAATGTGCTTACTCTGGATTTACAACACCAGCACTCCAATTTAAGTTACTATATCTGATTTTATTTTCTTATTCTCCTAAAAAGAAAAAGGCAGTATTTAAATATATGTGTTTAGGGCCAAGCCCGTGGCGCACTCAGGAGAGTGCGGTGCTGGGAGCGCAGCAGCGCTCCCGCCATGGGTTCGGACCCTATATAGGGATGGCTGGTGCGCTCACAGCGCTCACTGGCTGAGCGTGGTGCGGCCGGTCTCAAAAAGGACAGAAAAAATAAATAATAAATATATGTGTTTAGGGCCAAGCCCGTGGCGCACTCAGGAGAGTGCGGTGCTGGGAGCGCAGCAGCGCTCCCGCCATGGGTTCGGACCCTATATAGGGATGGCTGGTGCGCTCACAGCGCTCACTGGCTGAGCGTGGTGCGGCCGGTCTCAAAAAGGACAGAAAAAATAAATAATAAATATATGTGTTTAAAGCATTGATTAAATTAAAATAACTTATCTTAACAGCTACTGTTATGACATTTCTCAACCAAACTTGATTCAAATGCATTCTTGATGGGCATTTTTGTTTTTGTTTTACTCCCAAATAATAAAAATTTAGATTTGTTTTTACTTCTCAAAAATGAAAATTTAGATTAATTCAGACTGTATCATATAATTGAGTTGTTTATGTGTTTGGGGTTTTTTTATAGCGGAGTTTAAGAGAGCTGTGAAAGTAGCAACAGGACAAGAGCTCTCCAACAATATTTTGGACACTGTCTTCAAGATCTTTGATTTGGATGGTGATGAATGTCTCAGTCATGAAGAGTTTCTTGGGGTGTTAAAAAACAGGATGCATCGAGGTTTATGGGTAACAGATTTTGAATTTTTAAATAACTACATGTTTACATATAATGAACTGAATGTTCTGAAACGTAGAATTTGGGCAAATGTACAGTCTTAAATGGGGTTTTAATCATTCATAAAGAGATTATAAGTTATAATTACAACACTGAAATATCTTTTACAGATGGAATTTTTCTTCATCATTTTTCTTTGCTTTTTAAATAAAATCTAAATCTAATCAGTAATCACTATTTAGAAATCACAGTCTAGAATTTGGGCTGTGTAGTTAGACACACCTAGGCTCGAATCCCAGTTCTACCATTTACTAACTGTTCAATCTGGCAAAGCAGCTTAATTTTTCTGAGCTTCAGATTCCTCATCTGTACAATGAGGAAATTCACAGAAACTACCAGAAAGAATTATTGTGAGAATTCACATGAAGTAAATGTTAGCTATTAGTCTTATACACTCAAACTCACATATTGGTCTGTAATTGTGGAACAAATCAAATTCAGAATTTGTTTAGGTTAGAATCTTCTAGAAGCACTCTCATGAAAAAGTCTGCAAGGGGTAAACTAGGGTCCAAAGAGAATCTGCATGGTAGGTAGGTACTTAGGCTGGAAGAAAGGAAGGCAGGATAACAGAGAAAAAATATATTGTGTTTATGAAGACAAAGTTACTTGTGTACAGCTTAGGGAAGCAAATTCAGTTTTCTGCAACAAACGAAAATCAATAAATATGATTTTCATTAGCAAACATGTTTTACAAGGTTTGTAGTCATCCAGTACTCCTTAGTTAGATTCCTGGAAATTAAATCAACCTTTGCAGTTAATACTTTAATGTACCTGACTTCCAGCAATGCTGTGTTCCTTTGTTCACAAGGATCCAAATATTTTGTAACTTTCTTCATTTTGTTGAGAGGAGTAATAACTACAGAGTATTTTAATTCACTAAGCACTTACGTGAAGTAAATTTCTTCTTCATGAAGCTTCTCACCAATATATTGTGACCTATGGTTTTTCTTTTTAATTTTAGGCAAGTTTAAATCTAAGTTCTAGGCTACAATTTTTTTTCTTTTCTTTTTTTAATTGAAACAATTGTACATATCTACAGGGTACAGCATTGAATATCAATAACTGTGTGCAATACATGATGCTCAAATTAGGATAATTATTATATTCAACCTTACACATTATAATCATTTTTTATGGCCCTTTACCACTTTCTCACTAATCTCCCCTTGTCCCCTGCCCCCCCACCACCACCTTTTCCACCTCTGGTGGCCTCAGATTTCCTCCAGGTTTTCCAATTTGTTGGCATGTAGTTGTTTATAATAGTCTCTAATGATTCTTTGTATTTCTGTGGTATCAGTTCTCATGTCTTTTTCGTTTCTGATTTTTGTTATTTGAGTCTTATCTCTTCTTTTTTTAGTTAGCCTAGCTGATGGCTTGTCTATTTTGTTTATCTTTTAAAAAAATGAACTTTTTGTTTTATTGCTCTTTTGTCTGGTGGCCTCAGATTTCCTCCAGGTTTTCCAATTTGTTGGCATGTAGTTGTTTATAATAGTCTCTAATGATTCTTTGTATTTCTGTGGTATCAGTTCTCATGTCTTTTTCGTTTCTGATTTTTGTTATTTGAGTCTTATCTCTTCTTTTTTTAGTTAGCCTAGCTGATGGCTTGTCTATTTTGTTTATCTTTTAAAAAAATGAACTTTTTGTTTTATTGCTCTTTTGTCTTGTTTTTGGGGTCTCTATTTCATTTAGTTCTGCTCTGATCTTAGTTATTTCTTTCCATCTACTAATTTGGGGCTTGGATTGTTCTTGTTTTTCCAATTCTTTTTTTGGCAGTTGGCCAGTTCAGGGATCCAAGCGTGTGACCTTGGTGTTATGAGGTTGTGTTCTAACCAGCCGAGCTAACTGACCAGCCCTTTTTTTTTCCCCAAGGCTATAATTTTTATTCCACATAGCTAAGTAAAGGTCACCAGGAAAAGGGAAACATTATAAAATAATTAAATTTTAAAACCAGTATATGAAAGAAGATGGCCTAGAGTCTTCATTATCTTCTTAGGGAAGATGCTCCATTAATGCATACTTAGTCTGTCTATGTTCATTACTTACCCTAAGGATAGTCTCACATCACATTCACTTTTTATCTTTTACCCTTATTTACAGCTCTGTTGCAATGATTTTTTATAACATAATTTCGCCTCAACTACTTTGTGGAGGAGTGTGGGAAGGAAATAAACAGTAACATAAAGTACACATGAAATTTTGTTTAACCTTGGTGAAAATGATCCCTTAATTTTTACTTTTGGTTAACAGGTACCACAGCATCAAACTGTACAAGAATACTGGAAATGTGTGAAAAAAGAAAGCATTAAAGGAGTAAAAGAAGTCTGGAAACAAGCTGGAAGAAGTCTTTTTTAGAAAAAAGATAATAGGCAATTATATTGCTCCAAATGTGAGAATTTGTGATTTTTTAAAGTACTAGTCGTTTATCTTCTTAAGTCTTCGTTGATGTCTGTGTAATATGAAAGTGCCTTGTACTTGCTTTCTGATTCAAAAATTTCTTAATAAGTGTTCATTAAACAACTCAGTAGAAAGAAAAGAAAGTATTCTTTTGCAAAAACAGATACCAGATTCTGTCAGAAGACCTAGATATGAAGTAATATTTTATACTTTGGTGAGATGCGAAGCCTAGTTATACAGTGATTTCTTAGGCACAATAGCATGATATGCTTTCTGGAAGGATAAGCAAGTCCTTATGGAGAAAAAGTACTTGATACACAAGTATCAATTTCAGAAGTCCTGATGTTCCTAACAGGGTAAATGAAGTTTAAAACTTATGTCAGATTTTTCTTATCTGTATCTTATATCTCATAAGCTTCTTGTATATTTTATTTCAGTTAGCTTAGCTGTATATTTGTTGTCTTAAAAATAACATGTAAATTTCAATATCCTATTTAGAAGCAGAATAAAGTATTCATATAGATACAAAAAATACTGAGGTACTTTTTATTTTACATGTTTTTTTAAAACTACATTGCCAACCTCAGTTTATGTTCCTAAAAACTCATGTAGTCGGGATAATTTTGATCGGGGTCTCATGGGATATGTTGGGTTGTTGCAAATACTTTAAATGGCACTAGAAGTTACTTTGCATTAAAGTAAATATAGTATTATAAAATGCATTTAAAAAACATGTAAAATAAAAATTATTTTTTAAATGTGCTTATCAAATAAGAAAATTGCAAATATTTAAAACCAGTTCTCCCCAGAGAACCGGCTGATTCCAAGGCTGTGGTAGGGAAGGAAAGTCCAGCATAAGCCTGTGGAACATCTTGTGCCTGAAGGAAAGGAAGGGCTCACAGAATGATGGTGAGTCAAGAGGACAGAGCCAGCTGAAGGGGCTCCCCAGCCAAATATGGTACAGTTTGCGCATCTAAATAATGTCTGTGACGGATTGTAGCCTATTCAATAAAATAAGAATCCATGAGCTTACACTAAAAATTAATTAGTTGATTGATTAATGAAGCAAGAGAAATCTCCTCCTTACAGTTGTTAAAGGACAAGTCCTTGAAATACGTTAATCTGCTAAATTGGAAAATTCTTCTTTACAGTTTAATGTTGGAGATGGATAAGTGGCTAAAGCTAATGTCCAGTTATCACAAAAATACTTATTCTGCTGCTGATTAAAAAACAGAAATTTGCTCTAACTCATTCTCTTATAAATAGTCATTTATAAAGTAATTTTTTATCTATAATAAAACCAACAGATGAATGAATTAAAAAATATAGTATATATACACAATGGAATATTACTCAGCCATAAAAAAAGAATGAAACCATGTCATTCATCGCAACATGGATAAGCCTGAATGACATCATGTTAAGTGAAATAAGTCAGGCACAGAAAGATAAATACCGTATGTTCTTACTCATATGTGGGAGCTAAAAAAGTGAGTTCATTGAAGTAGAGTAGAATTGTGGTTACTACTGGGCCGGCCCGGTGGCGCGCTTGGGAGCGCGGCGGCGCTTCCGCCGAGGGTTCGGATCCCACATACAGACCGGTTCCCGCTCACTGGCTGAGCGAGGGGCGGGCGCAGCACCGAGGGTTGCGATCCCGTTGCCGGTCCCGGTCTGGTACGGGCGCGACACTGAGGGTTGCGATACGTTGCCAGACATGAAAAAAGACAAAAAGGAAAAAAAAAAAAAAGAATTGTGGGTACTAGAGGCTGGGAAGGGGAGGGGGAAGAGGGGTAGGGAGAGATTGGTTAACAGATACAGAATTACAGCTAGGAAGGAAGAATAAGTTCTAGTATTCTATAGTAGTGCTACATGTCTGTAATTAACAATAATTTATTATATATTTTCAAGTGGCTAGAAGAGAGGAGTTCAAATGTACTCAGCACAAAGAAGTGATAAATGTTTGAGGTGATGGATATACTAATTAACCTGACTCACACCAAGTTTAGGGTTAAGATCCCCTTACTGGTCATCTTTAAAAAATAAAATAAAATTTTTTAAAAAGACAAATAAGTGAAAAGACAGTCTGTGTCCATGGATTGGAAGGTTTAATATTGTCAAGAGGTCAATATTACCCGAAGTAATCTAACAGATTTAATGCAATCCCAATCAAAATCCCAGTCGCATTTTTTGCAGAAATAAAAAAACCCATCCTAAAATTCATGTGGAATCTCAAGAGACCTTGAATAGCTACAACAGTCTTGAAAAAGAACAAAGTTTGGGCTGGCCGTTTAGCTCAGTTGGTTAGAGCATAGTGCTGATAACACCACAGTCCACAGTTCAACCCCTGTACCAGCCAGCCACCAAAAATAAAAGGAACAAAGCTGGAGGACTCACACTTTCTGATTTCAAAAATCAGAAAATTACTGTACTTCACAGCTACAGTAATCAAACCAGTGTGGTTTGATTGGCTTAAAAGACAGACATAGACCAATGGAATACAATAGAGACCCAAAAATAGACCCTCACATATATGGTCAAATGATTTTTGACAAGGCTGCCAAGAACATTAAATGAGGAAAGAACTGCCTTCTCAATAAATGCTGGTGGGACAACCACCATTGTATATCCAGATGCAAAAAAATGAAGTTGGACTCTTACCGTTTACTATAAATAAAAATTAACTCAAAATGGATCAAAAACCTAAATATGAGAGCTAAAACTATAAAGCTCTCATAAGAAAACATTTGATTTGGCAGTGATTTCTTAGATACTACACCAAAAGCACAGGCAACAAGAGAAAAACTATATAAATTTATCATCAGAATTAAAAATTTATGTATCAAGAAAGTGAAAAGACAACTCATAGAATAGTATAAAATATTTACAAATCATATATCTTCATAGGGATTAATAGCCAGAATATATAAACAACTACAACTCAACAACAAAAAACAACCTGATTTGGGCCAGCCCGGTGGCGCAATGGATAGTGCGCCGCTTGGGAAGCGCGGCGGCGCTCCCGCCCGAGGGTTCGGTTCCCACATGCAGACCGGTTCCCGCTCACTGGCTGAGTGAGGCGCGGGAGCAACGCCGAGGGTTGTGGGGGTTGCGATCCCGTTGCCGGTCCCCGGTCCGGTGCGGGGGCAACACTGAGGGTTGCGATCCGTTGCCGGACACGGAAAAAGACAAAAGACCAAAAAAAAAAAACAACCTGATTAAAAAAAGGCAAAGGACTTGAATAGATATTTCTCCAAAGAAGTTATACAAATGGCAACTAAGTACATGAAAAGATGCCCAACATTATTAGCCTTTAGGGAAATGCAAATAAAAATCACAATGAGATACCACTTCACACCCATTAGAATAGCTATTATTAAAAAAACAGAACATATGAAGTGTTGGTGAGGATGTGGAGAAATTGGAAGTTTTGTACATTACACATGAGAATGTAAAATGGTGCAGCCACTCATGGAAAACTGCCAGTTCCTGAAAAATACCACTCTTAGGGACTCAAACAAGTACTTGCGTGCTAATGTTCATTGCATCTTTATTCACTTAGCAAAAAAGGTGTAAACACCCAATGTCCATCAACAAATGAATGGATAAACAAAATGTGGTATACAATGGAATATTATTCAGCCATAAAAAAGAGTAAGGTTCAACAGACATGCTACAACATGGGTGAACCTTGAAAACATGCTAAGTAAAATAAGCCAGACACAAAGGGACTAATATTGTATGATTCCACTTATGTAGGTGCCTGGAATAAGCAAATTCATAGAGGCAGAAAGAGGATTAGACGTTTCTGGGGTCTTGGGGGATGGGGGGACAGGTGGAGGTGGGGAGAATGGGGAATTAATGCATCATGGTTATAGAGTTTTACTTTGGGACAATGAAAGTTTTTGGAAATTGGTGATGGTTGTACAATATTGGTTATTTAGTGAATGCCACTGAGTTGTACACTTAAAAATGGTTAAAATGGCAAACTGTATGTTATATATATTTTAATCTCAATTTTTAAAAATTAGCAGTGTAATATACCAAAATCCACTGGATTATCCTGCACTTGGATAGGATACACTTGAGTGAACAGTATGGTATGTTAATTACATGTCAATAAAGCTGTTCTTTTAGAAAACAATGTTTAATACAGACAAGATTAACCAGTGGGTAACAGGTTGAAAAAAGTGTTTGGAAATGTTAAAGCCAACAAGGGATTAATATCTACACCAGTGGTTCTCATTCTAATCAGACCCAACGTCCTCCCTACAACTACCACTATTTTAACAAGTACTTAGTAATGTCCTTTTTACTATCCTGAAATGAAATTCATAGGTAACATAATTTTCCTACACACTTATTATTTAAAATAACATAAAGCACCAACTTACATGTAAATTTTTAAAGAATTTATGATAAAATAACATGTAATCAATATGTATATGTTCGGGCACTACTATACTAGATCTCCCAGAACAAATCCCTATATATTTCTAAAACACCCTTTAGGGTCAGTGCCATCTAGAATAAAAAATATCACTAACAACAAATGAGAAACTCAATAGAAAAACAAATAATAAAGATTTTGGTAGTTCACTGTTGAGAGGTGAGATAGTGGGCAGGAGGTGGATCTGAGTGGCTAAGAAAGAAATGTTTGAGCTCATTAGTAACCAGAGAAATGTAAATTAAAACAACAAGATCCCAATGTACACGTATCAGATTGGCAACAGAGAGAAATCTGATAATACCAAATGTTAGTGTGGACTTGGGGAAATGAGACCCCTTGTGTGTTGCTGGCTAGAAAACGGTCTGGCAGTCTTCAATGAGAGGAAGTGTGTGTTCACCCTGTGACTCCTCAGTCTCTTGGACAGATGCCCCTAGAGAAGCAAGCACAAACCCACAGGAGTGTATGTACAAAGATGTTTGTCTCAGTATCAACTGTAGTGGTTAGAGGAACCCAAGTGTCCATCACTAAGGTAATGCATAAATAAAACGTGGTGATATGTGCCGTGGAATGCTATGTAGAAGTTAGAATTATGAACTGGGGGCCGGCCTCGTGGCGCACTCGGGAGAGTGCGGCGCTTGGGAGCGCAGCAGCGCTCCCACTGCAGGTTCGGATCCTATATAAGGTTGGTCGGTGCGCTCACTGGCTGAGCGCGGTGCAGGCGACACCACACCAAGGATTGCGATCCCCTTACTGGTCACAAAAAGGACAAAAGAAAAAAAAAACTATGAACTGGAACAACACAGATCTTCAAAATATAATGTTTAAAACATGAGAAGCAAGATCTATAGCAAGCGTATCCATGTAAATGTTTTAAAAAGCAACACTATTGGGGGGATGGCAATGGGGAAAGGAATGAAGTGCAAAGCAAACAATAAAATAAAATGAGAGGGGCATTGCTTAGACCAGTGGTGATCATGGTACATACCTCAAACTAAGGAGCATGATTAACTCAACTCCAACACCTGATGTGCAACATGACAGCTGAGCAACCACATAAAGGATCTGAACTGAGGTATGCAACATCACCTAACAGAATGACTTCAGATTATAATTTAATAGAGTATATTAACATATCCTAAGAAAGTTTGTCTCAGAACTTAAATGGGTCAATCAATAAACTATTTAGGACTTCTGGTTTCCAGTACAGCACAGAAGGAGATTGGAAGATACCACTCCCATTTTCGTAATAAGAATAAAACCAAAGAAACTGAAAGGCAACAACACTTCTTAGATCTGTCAGAAAACTGAGGTTATAGGGCAAACTGCTGCCCCCAAAATTAGAGAGACCAACAGGTAGATACAGAGAATCTCAGCTTCCTGGAACAGAAACCTCCATGGTACCAGGACAGAGAAACCTAAGCTGTAAATGCAAGCAAGTAGCGCTGCTTCTCTCCCCAAACTCATTATTATCAATAATGTTGTTTTATTAATAAGCTGTGGCTAGCTTTTTAATATACTAAACAAGTATGAGAAACGGCATGACTTACTGTGCTTTTAACATTTTATAATTACAAGCTAGAAGTTGTTGGAATGAGGTGGGTAAGGGTGAAATGTTGTACTATAGCTGGGAAAAAAATCAATACCTGCTCCTGAAATACAGTACTTGACCAGAAAGGAACTGTAAGATACAAAAGAGCAAATATGAAATAAATTTCTCTGATTAAAAAAAAAAATCTGGGCCGAGCCCATGGCGCACTCGGGAGAGTGCGGTGCTGGGAGTGCAGCAGCGCTCCTGCCGTG